TCACCACACAGGCATCACATATTTATACAGTACAGCCCCTCCTCCTGATGTCCCGCCTTCCATTCCCCATAGGATGGAACTTTCCCTCCAAACCCATGACAGACAGGTAACATCAGTGCTGTTATGTAACAGGTCCAAAGCCACAGCTTTAAAGAAGTAACTTCTTAGGGTCAAGACTAGAAATGGGGACGAATTTAAAAATGGTTATTCATTTTGATCCGTTATTCGTCAAGGTTAATGGATCAACAAATATGAAAATATGAATATTAATTGATGAATCAATCCATCAATTTGTCTGCACTTTAAATGGCTATAACACTGGCCCCCGACAACCTAGAGATACTGAATTTGCAGGGAAGCTTCCTCAGAGTCCTTTCTACATCTCCTGAAAGTTTGGTGAACATTGGATCATGGACCCCCAAGTAATATAGTCACAAAGAGGACTCCCCCAAGGAAAGCTCCCCCCAGGTACTTAGAGAATCCAGAATCACAATGGAGCTTCCTATGTCTTTCCGCAACACGCCTGCCAAGTTTGGTGAAGATTGGATATTGGAACTCCGAGTTATTCGCCTACAAATTGGGTCCCCCCAGGAGAGTTTACCACACGGCAGAGAAGCCCATTGAGGGATTGGGTCCCCCCAGGAGAGTTTGCCACACAGCAGAGAAGCCCATGGCATTGGAGGAAATTATATTTTGGGGCAATGGGATGACACCCGGACAGGCTTTGGGTGGGGCAGAGCCTGGCCTAGGAGACTCACCTGTCCACCAACATCTAACTAGACTTGCTGACAACCTTCAAAGAAACAAAGATGCTTGTCTAGAACTAGAAAGCTGGGAATTGCAACTTGGCTGCTGGGACAAAGGCCCCCACCCCCAGTATAATGTAATTAGGAAGGTTCACCTTGATGAACAACAGTCTCTCCACAGTAACGTGGGATCCAAACGTGAGCAGCATGGTCGGAGTATGTCTCCAAGATAGGAAGACACACGTGCACTCTGGACTCTGGTGGGGGTGGTGGAAAGGAGGTCTGTGGCCATATTGGACAATTCTGGCCATATGAATAGTTTCCTAGCCCAGTCATAGAGGGGATCTGATTTGTGGGGCTGAGGGGGCTCAGCCAGATATTCCCGCATCATTGTCTCTGCCGAATCCTCAGCCTTTCCTCTGAGGCAAGTGCCAAAGTCACCACAGAGCTCCAGTAATGTTGGTGGTGAATGGAGCCTTCACCAGATGAAGTCCTTCCCTGTGGTTTTGGCAAACCACCCTGCCCCTCGTGGCCTGACATTCCCATCGACCCACGTAAGCATTGTGTCACCAACGCCTTGTGGACCTCAGTGGAGATCTCCATTCTCTACTCTGCATGCTGCCAGCCCCCCTTGTTCGAGGATCACAGAGGCAGGCCACGCGGTAAGGTCTGTCACTAGACAGGATGGAGTCGCTTCCGCATGCCTGCCTGCAACCTTTCCACCAAAGCCCTGGTCCATGGAAGGTGGGAGGATCCTGGTGCCACACAGCAGTCTCCAGGGACTGATTGAGGGCATGAATCATGGATGACCTGCCCCAGGGTTGCCATATAAGCACACAAGATGGTTTCCAGGAAGGGCCTGAGCACCTCCACTATCTGGGAGAGGGCCAGCCAATCTGTGGCACTGATGCCCACCTCTCTCCCCCTGGGCAGAATGGGCATGGAGGACATGATGATGTCCTCCAAAACGGCCTTCTGCTCCACCAGGCGGGACACCATGGCGTAAGTGGAGTTCCACCTGGTGGGCAGCTCTGTCAGAAGAACATGGGTCTCCTCACCCAACTCCTGCCTCTCACGCAGCTGGCGGGCAGCTTTCAGGCTGCGGGGGAAGTGGCCCACCAGTTGGCATTGCTCCAGGAGTGCCCACGTCTCCCGGGTGCCTATGTCCCACTCGGGCTTGATGTGGCTGCCGAGGCTGAGGGCATCATATGCATGGTGCACAAATAATGCCTTGTGATGTATGATGTGTCGCCAACATGCTCTGCCTAGCATCTGTGATTATGTGGCCATGGGTCACCTCCCCCTCCGGTGCCCACTGCTGCAGCGCAGACTGGAACTCATTACCGATGTTCCTCCCCGTTGCCTCAGCTTCCATGTGCCATGCCTGCAGCAGAACGGACCTGTTACCCTGGGGGCAGGGCAAGGGCCTCCCCCTGCAGCCCTGTCACTAATGCCCTGCCACTACTCAAGTCCTCTTGAGCACGGCTGTGAGCGAGAGTTAGCCGTGCTGACCTCTGCTTCACAGGTCTGCTGTGAAGTGCACCTTGCGCCCCTGTAGCTGTGAAAAATGGTCATGGACCACCTCCCTCACAAAGTCATAGAGTGAGGGCAGCACTCTAGAACTGAGTGTTCTCTGTGAGGGGAGGTTGCACCAGGGGGCAAAAAAATATATGCAGCAACCGGCAGAAGGCTTGGGATTCCACCATGGACAGTGGAAGGCTGAGCAGGTTGATCATCTCGGCGATAAGGAAAGTGGCTGCCTGCTGGGCCTTGCCCTTTGACCGCCAGCTAAGGGTCATGGCGGACCCTACGGGTGCCACTTCATGGAGTGTGGCCTGTCTCATGCTCCCAGCCCCAGAAACCCCTGTGGCTGCCCTTTTGAAAGGGGGCGCCTCCTCCTGACTCCTTTCTGACTCCCCTGGAGCGGCACCCCTGGAAGCTTTGATTCCATGCCTGCCTGCAAGGCCACTGGAGGAGGGACAGTGGCACTGGTTATCGTAGACGTGGTTGTGCATGTGGCGGTCGTGATGACAGTGCTTCTACCTAGCCTGCGTAGCTTCACAGCCTTCTTCCCATTGGATCGGACCTGAAGAAATCCCTTCATTTTCTACTGCCTGCCTAACAAACGAACTAAACAAATAAAGCAATGGAGACTGAGGAAGGAAACTAATAGAGGGTCAGAGAGTGTGTAAACTTTATTTTTAGAATAATGGTGGTGTAATTCTTTTATAAAAATATGACCTGCCTGCCTAAACAAAGCCCCCCCCTCAGTATAATGTAATTAGGAAAATCCCCCCCCCAACCCACTGTGGCAGAAAAGCCCAAAAAGAAAAGCGCTGCCAGCTAAGTCTCAGGGACACACACACACACACACACATACACACAAATAAGTTTTAGAAGAAAAAGGAATGATGGATCCAGCCAGCCACCAAATTCCCTGAGAGACACAAGCCTTTCTAAAATGAACTTTTGAAAACTGAATAATCCTCCCACCTAGACATGCACACACAACCAATTTGGGGAAAGAAAAAAATGATTCTCCTAAAATAAACTTTTTAAAACTGAATATAAAGGAAAAGAAATTCCACAGTCACACGACAGTTGCCCCCCCACCCCCAGGATGATACAAACACACACACATAAGCCTCCTGGGTGGAAAAAAGTTTGATTGATTTGAATTTGAAATAAAATTAAGCTCTTCCAAAGAAGTAGCCTCAGCTACCTGAAATCCCTCCCCAAATTCCCAGTAAAGTTGATGATGATTGATGAATGATGATGAAAAAGAAAACTATAAGTCTTTGCTGCCGCAAAAGTGAAACCGCAAGAGCACCAACAAGCCAGTGAGCAGCAACTGTTCTCACTCCAGAGAGCACGAACAGAAATCAGGAACGACCGGACAGGGAAAGCCTATATAAGCGTCCGTAAAAGTAGATACACCTTTCAGCAGCACTACTGGCTGCCAGACATGCCAATCCAGGATCTTTGTCCTGACTGGCCAGAACTTCAAATTAGCGCCAGAAAGCTTAGAGAGGCCCCCGAAAGGGGTAAATACAGGGAAAGCCTATATAAGCGTCCGTAAAAGTAGATACACCTTTCAGCAGCACTACTGGCTGCCAGACATGCCAATCCAGGATCTTTGTCCTGATTGGCCAGAACTTCAAATTGGTGCCAGAAAGCTTAGAGAGGCCCCCAAAAGGGGTAACTAATATAGACGAATATGAACGGATTGACGAATAAAACTGAAGAAATATTTGTCAAGCCATATTCATCCTGAATTAAAATTTTACAAAGAAGGATCAATGAATATATGACGAATCGCCTACATTCGTCAGAAAAACTGATCCGTTTTTATATTTGTCCCCATCTCTAGTCAGGACTAATGCAAAACAGACTATGATATACTTTCATCACCATGCCTGAAGAAATATTTATGTACTTGCAATGTTTTTTTTATTTCATAGATAGTAAGTTTGTTTTTTTAGGCTAAAGCATTACAACTATTAATAAGGGGGAACATGTACTGTCTAAAACACAATTTGTACGTATTTCCTAATGAGATTTTGAAGACATTTCTTTGCAGAGAGTTAACAATGCCCCTGAGAGAGTAATTTTGTAGTCAAATATTTGGAGTGGCATTGACATCAGTGTCAAATGAAACTGATGCTATGCATATAGCAATTTAATACCCACTTGGGGGCTACATTCTTTCCTTTGCAATAACAAATCCGCTTGTTTTATGCCTCAAAGTGCGGGGGGAGAGACTTACTTCCCAGTAACAACTGTGTGTATGATAAGGAGGACTGATGGGTGTCTTGAAAGCAACAGCACTAGCCACATGGGGAGATGTGCCATGATTGCATCCTGCTGCTGCTGTTCTGTCACTGCTGGCATCGTATAAATCGGACCTACAAAATGCAGCCCAGGTGGAATGATCAAGGAATGGGAGCCTACATCTTTCCTTTTCAGCTCTTAAAGCTGAATATTATCAACATACTAGAAGCATATAGAGCATACTGGCCATGTTTCAATATAGGTAATCCCTTTGTTTCATAACCTCGGCTCTTAGCTGTGGATTGTATGAAGGTTTCAATCGTGATGAGAAATCTTGGGAAAATATTGGTCGATGACAAAAAAAATTTCCCTTTTTCCATGAAAATCTGAATAGCCTAAGGGTGTAACATGATTCTCACATGTCTCATGCTTGTAAGGTTGCCAGTTTCTGGGTCAGAAACTCTCTAGCTATTGCTAGAGCATTTGGGAACAGTGTGTCCTTCTTCTATGTTATGCCAGGATAGCTTATACTGTGTTAAGGAAGGCTCTCAAGGGTGTTTTTTTGTTTTTTGCCACAGAATAGGCTGATAGAATCCTCCATCTACACAGTGGTATCTTTCTGATTGGGAGCCTTTAAGTAATTGCCACTTCTTTGTAAAGAGGTGTTGATCCTCATTGCTTTCTCAGTAAACGTTTCATATT